GCTTCTTGTCGCACTTAGAGTGACGAAGGCTCCCGCTCAATTAAGGTCTTCGATGCACTAAATGAGCGGGAGTTTTAAAATGTACAAACAAATCCCAAAAATACTATCTAAGAATTAAAAAATCTTTTGTAACTTTATAGCGTGAGCCGTGCTTCAGTTTTGTCCCTCAGAAGGACAGTCAACTCCGATACAGGCGCGCGCTTGTATTTTTTTTTTTTTTTGTAAATTTAAAAAATAAAAGCTTTAGTGGAGATTTTTCAAAATTTTGCCTTTCTTTTGGCCCCTCGGTCTGTTCAGGAACTGTTTTCCCTAAATCTTTCACTCTTCTACCCCCACCCCCTCAAAATTCTAATGGATCGCACCTCTACCAGCAAGGTACTAATTGCAAGGTCCTGCAGACAAGTCAGGACACGGACAAAATTTGACATGTGAGAGTGATGATAAAAAGTTATAATAACTAAGCGTCTATAACGTACAAGCCCGTACAACGTACAAGCCCGGGGACACTGTGCTCCCACACTCACTATCTCTAGCACAAAACAAATTATGAAAAAGTAATGAAAAACGTATTTCAAAAATTTCTGAAAGTTATCTAGTTAACCGTGATTCGAGCCGTGAGTCGTGAAATCGCCAAATTTTTAGTAGTGATGCGTACCACCCCGTTGAGACCCTCCTAAATGAGCGGTACAAATGTACNCACTTTCACCGAATAGACTACCCCAATTTGACATTATACTTTCGATAGTTGCCTAGTTAGTGCAAGGGGTTATCCATCAGTGTCTAGGGGCCGGATAGCTTCTCCCTCACTGGCTTTTTAGTTAGCGCGAAGTTAGGACCAATTATCGGGATAGCATGGAAGAGCCGAAATCTCTAACCGGAATGTAAATCGATTCGCCGCCTCAGCTTCACAGAATGTCTCGGGGGAATCGTCCCAACCTTTTTTCGATTTTATGGTCATGGGTTCGAATCCCACCACTCAAGTTTTTTTCTTTTTTCATATTTCTTTTTTTTTTCTTTTTGTTGTTGTCTTTGATTAGCTTAATTCCTACATTAATGATTGTTTGCAATATCTCCAGAATCATTTAGTAATTATTTCTATATATTTCTATAATGTGATATTTTAAAGCGCGCTTTCATTGGCTTTTCTTCATTAAACGCCAGGTTTTCACAGCGCGGCGATTTCGCAACCGAGAATCAATTTTTAAACAGAGTGGCCGAGTTATGTTTTCTATTCGTACGGACATTGTATATATTCTGAAATTTTCTGTAATTAGATAAGATATCGATTTTAAAATACTATAATTAGTTATAAAAGGTTTTTTCTTTCTTAGATAGTATTTTTGGGATTTGTTTTGTACATTTTAAAACTCCCACTCATTTAGTGCCTGCGTCACGCTAAGTGTGACAAGAAACTAAATCTGCTCGATTTTAAAATACTATAATTTTGTTTAGAGTCAAATAATAATATGAATACGCTGCAAACTTCCTGATTTTACCATGCACATTTAGCCCGGCATAGAACTACATCATCGCGCAAAGCGACACTTATGAAATTTCGTAAACTCCGATGACACGGAATGCAGCAATGCCACTACTATGTTCTCAATACCTGCTATGTTTAACACTTTTTGGATTTTTCTTGTGTATTATGAATTTATCATTAATCATTTTTTTCGTGGAAATAGTCGCATTTCGGCTTATTTGAAAGGGAAAATCCATGTCCGTATGAATAAGTCACGCAGTCTATTCATACTAAAAAAAGAAAAAGTAATGAAAAACGTAATTCAAAAATTTCTAAAAGTAATCTAGTTAACCGTGATTCGAAAAAATTAGACGTGAGTCGTGAAATCGCCAAAGTTTTAGCCGTGAGTCGTGATGCGTACCACCCCATTGAGACCCTCAATTAATTTATGAGATTGATTTTCCCGCGAGAGGTCTATCACAAATTAGACCATTAGTAGAGTAGCCAATCACAGCGCAGTATGAGTGATAGACCAATAGTATGTTTATACTAAATGGTCATATGGCGGGAAATTTGGATTTTTCAATTAGCTGTAACTTCGGATCGAAACTTTCACCAAAAATCTTATATACAAAACTTTTATTATCTCGTAACTATTTATTTCCTGTATTTTGTATTGGATGCCAAATTATYAGGACAAATTTTTCAATCAACCATTTGGCTAAGTTTCATAAATTKTGCTGGTTTCCTTTTTTGACTATGGTCTAAAACTGAAAACTTTTGAGGCTTGCTGGCGAAAAAGCCCTAGCAACCGACCATTGTGGATCGAGCACGAGAAAATGTCGCTATTACAATAGTCCTGAAAATTTAATTTGCATTTTACCCGCGTTCAGAGTAGCCCTGTATTCCCATAAKACCTAAGGTTTAAGCCTTCTGGAAACAAAGAAGAGTGGGAACAATAACATCCTGGTGCGCTAGGTAAACATCGATGCACWAAGGTCTACCAAGCTGCGACTACACGAGCGATTCTGCGCTTGCGCAGGTGACCCGATTTTCTCAAAATCATCAACGCACGATGTGGCTACACGAGCAAAAATGCTGYATCGATAAATAAAATCCTCAAAAATACTTATTTGAAACTCCATAATGAGGTGTATATACAAGAACAGTCCAAATTCGATGTTCAGATTTCATTGTACCCGAAAATCGGCCGCGGATGAAAGGACGTCCTGTTCAATTTTTCCTGTTTTCCTTGTGTCCCGTCACAGGTGGCACTAACCGTTATATTTTATAACCAAGTACGTAAATCAGACATGCAYAGAGTTGTAAATCAACGCTGCTATAAGTCAAGAAAGTCTGTACTCGACGCCGTTCATTCCAACCCTGTTGATTTTTGAGTGATCAAAATATAAATGTAGTTAATGTATCGCCAACGTTCTAGCGGCGCTTGTTTCTAAAATCTAACAAACGGCTCATAAATATTAATTAAACAAATTGCTACGATTAAAAAATAACATGACAAGAACAACTATATTTCAGTTCAAAAAAGAAAGAAAGAGAGAGAAAAGAAAGAACTTGTCAGACGTGCTCGAGTCGAGGATCGAAACTTGTATCCTTGGAACCTTAGGGTCTCTTGGGATTGCTAAACTGCGACGTAGAAAAAAAATTAAGAACCACTTCGTGTAACATACCGTGTCCAGAGTACGCAAATGTATATTTTTACCAGAGTCACGATCGATTTGATAGATTTTGCGTATGATCTTTTTGCATCATTTTGAATATTTTTATCATTGCAGCGAAAATTTAGCTTTCAGAAAGCATTCGCATTATCCTCAGAGAATTTATATGATGAAAGTTTACTTTGCATAAAATGATTTTAGAAGAAAAAAAAGAACGAGTATAAAGTTCAAGAAAGAAAGAGAGAAAAACAATTTTTATAGAAGCTGCTCGAGTCGAGAATCGAACTCGAGATCTTCAGCTCATCACCGCTATTCAAGTATGATCTTGCGTGTAAAATATGTAAAACAAATATCTACAGGAAAAATAAGAATAAGTATATTTCAGTAAAAAAAAAGAATCGCTTAGAAGTGATGGAGTCGAGAATCTAACCCGCGATCCTATTCGAGTACGATAGTCTTTGTAAAAATTAAAGTAACGGCTCGAAAATAATTGATAAACGAAWATCTACAGAAAAAAAATMAACGTKACTATATGACAACTTCATTTCAGTTAAAWAGAAAGAAAAAAAATTGAAAAGGAAAAATGAAAAATAATCATTAAACAAAATCTACAGAATATCAAGATGAMTATAACAASTATATTATATTTAAAAAGRAAGAAAAAAAGAAAAAAGTGCTCGAGACGAGATTCGAACTCGCGATCCTCTGTTAGTCGCCGCTGTTCGAGTATCATCGTGTTTCTAAAATTTAAACGCKGCTCGAAAATATTAATAAAACRAATTGCTACGATAAATATCTAACATGACTAGAACCCATATATTTCAGTTAAAAGAAGAAAGTAAGACGTGCTCGAGTCGAGGATCGAACCTTGGAACTCTGGATTATGTGTCCTTTGGGATTGCTAAACTGCGACGTGGAAAAAAAAAGAAATAAAGCCGCTGCATTTTGTAACCATACCGCAGGCCTTCGGCCTGGACACGGTAATAATAATAGTAAAGTCACTGCAATTTATAACCATTTTGTAAGCATACTTATTTTTATACAAACGTAAAGGAWAAAGTTGCAGTTAAAGCGAACTGACTGCTATGACTTTCACTCGAATCGGATATGTCTGGTTATGAATACTTCAAATTATTCAGTTTCCTCAAAAAAATCTAAGTAATTAAAATCAATAGCAATCAAGTAGGGAGAATGAACAAAAAAATYTATTCAGGAATTAACGAAAAACGCAATGTGGACGAGCATGTAGATAGAAAATTCAAAATCAAAATTCGTCTAATTTTCTATGCATCAATTTMGTTTAAACGGACCAATAGAAATCGGTATTTTCTGCCAAGGTTCGTTTTACTTACCTGTAAATATCGTTACTAAATAGAGTCGACATGTATTCGAGACTTACGAACAACCACTTCTGTCACTAACTTTTCGAAAAAATTGAGGCTATGGCTAGAACTATGWAAAATGTGTTATTGGCAAAATAGCTGTGTAACGAACCAATTAGCGATCGAGCGGTATCGTTTCTTATTACGTATATTATTACATAATGTATATTATCACGTGTACAGCATTTTGCAAAAATTATGAGAATTGTCGAAATATCTAAATATCATAATATCGAGTGCATGATGGGTAATCCTGCGCGATGCCCTTAGTCCCTTGTCTTTGTAGTTTAGTTTTTTTTTTTGGCGACAGACTTCTCCGTAGTTCTGAACATTTTCTCGATGTCAACAATGAATTATTCTAGCAAACCCGCGTGTTCCGGACAATATATGGATATGGATATTATGATATTTAGATATTTAGACAGTTCTCATAATTTTTGCAAAAGGCTGTATTATTAAGTATATTAATATGTGCAAAAATAAGTTGTTTATTGAAGGAACAGGTATAATAAGTACGAGTCGACTAATTGGCCAATTTCCATCTTTTGTAGAGTTAATTTTACTCGCTAATAACACAATCAATTAATCAATCCAACAATACACCAATCAATCGATCAATCGATCAATCAATCAATCAATCAATCAATCAATCAATCAATCAATCAATCAATCAATCAATCAATCAATCAATCGTTTTTGTCTGTTGAATCTCCAGTCTGATATGTTTGTATATGATATGTCTTCGGGTAATTCTTCATTGTGTGAGAGGTGAGGACGACGAAACATCCTTTGATTATTGTTTCGAAAAACGTCACTTTATTGCAAATTTAACACATGCCACAGATACAGCTGATACAGACGGATTACATTTTATGTCCTTATAAAAGTACATGGCTCTTGGCTTCACATTCGAGTTGTATCTGCTTAATCAGGGCTCGACTTCCAAAACTCATYTTTGGACTGGCATGCTGATAGTTTGGTAATAATCGAATTAATGGTAAAAACCGCTGCTTTATTTGACAACAGATTTCTTGCGCAAAGTCCTGATCAAACACAAGCTAGAGATAGCACGAGAAAATGTCGTACAAATTTTCATTTCCCCCGAGTCGAGACAACCCTGTACTCTCAAAAGACCTAAGGTACTATGAGCCTTCTGGGAATACAGTGTTAGTCTCAACTCGGGGATGTGTACATAGTCTCCTTGCAGGCAACTCTACTCCGTGGGGTTYCTGTGTTGAGGCAAAGTCTTATTCGTTGTTCCTAATCTCTCGACACCAGTTCTTCTCGGTCAAGATTATGAACACAGGAAGACCAAAAAGAGAAAAATGTCCGTTTCCGATRGAGTWGCCTGTGAAKGAGGCTGATGTGTACATTGTTAACACTATTGTACTGRCAAMATTAATTTTTCTTGCGCTTTCTTTTGTGTTTGGTAAGTTCTTTGCGTAAGAGAATCTGCAGTCAAAAAAACAGCGGTTATTCGCTTTGAATTCGAAAATGGTGTATTTGAGACTCAGCTCCTTGAATGAGGGCCATTTTCAAAGAATTTTAAAAAATATAGTCGAACCACCCAGTAAATTAATGTSTACTTGTTATGAACTTAGTTCTGAAATATTCCAGATATCTCGCAGTAGATAGATTCATTTTGTGACAATAATACTGGTTCATTCGGGGTAATGAATTATTTAAGTCACGTGAYTCTGTACGTGTGTCATGCAAATATTCCAAGCATTCATCTTCGATTTCTTTCTGTTTTCTTCTAAAGTGTWTTAACTCTTCATAAAAGTTTTCTTCATGTGATATCTTTTTCCATAAAGTTGAATTGAAATAGTTGTAAAGTGAAAAGTCCGCTTTACTCCACTTTTGTAAACTTTGTAATTCTTGGTACGTGTACAGTCTGGAAACATTGGTATTGATAAGCGATTTTTTAAGATAAAGAACATCGTCGAGTTCCCAACAGAGTTTTCTCTTCAATAAAACAAGCGATTCATCGAGATGTTCATAAATCACAACTAAAATRAATTTTTCATCGATATCCAAGATGGCGTCTTTTACTATCTCTTGTTTGTGGTAATCGGCAGTGCGAAGGCCAAGGTCAAAGAACATCCCATTCTTGATCAGATTCAGTGTATCCTAGAAAGATGAAGAAAGGGGCAAAACCATCAATTCGCAGTATTGTGCTGCAGTCGATTTTGTCGATCGTTTTTGGCTCATTTTTAGGAGAATTTCGAGCGGAGTCTCCTCCCTTGCCACTATATATATAGGTAGGGGAATTTTTTGACACTGAATAAAATAAAAGTAGACTATTTTTAAGTAAAAATTTTATTTTTAACTATTATAGGTTCAAATTCATTGCTTGACTCCCTGTGTTGCGCACGCTTTGAATATCGCATCTGAGCGCGCGCTTTGTGGATTACCTGTGGTACTATGTCGCACGACCCAGATGTAAACTAGTCTGTGACAATGTATGAAACACTGGTCATATGATGTATCGATGTGTAAAATAGACATATTAGAGTGCGCAGCTAATTCTTTTCT